TTAAAATCCATAAAATCCACTTTTTTATATTAAAAAGGCTACATGCAGCTCAAAAAAATATTTTATCTATTAATTAATAATTTATTTCCTTAATAATGTGTTTTTTATCCCATTTATATGCATATTATTGATTTAACTACGATTTAACGCCACGTGATCGGTGATTTGAATTTTTAGGTGAGAGTAGAGCATACCTACGCTCGCGCTTAAGGCATGCAAAAAATGACGACCAGACTAATACAATCGAGGGATTCCCCGTAACGTAAATGAAAAGGGTTGCCAGTTTGCGAGTTTTAATTCCCTAATTTTTTAGAAACAATGTTACGTAACGTGTTGTAAGAAAGACCCCCTCCCGCCCCTGTAACGCATCGTAACGTTTTACGAGACCCCCTCCCCCCCAAATTGCGTTACGTAATACTTGAACTTATCAGTCAATGTTTGGTCACTTGTATTCAGGACTCTAACGAGTAAACAAGCTTTTATTTCTAACATAGTGATTAAAAATGCCGAAAAGAAGTGAAATTAGTTTGGAAAGCCGAGTAAAAATACAACTTTTCCATGAACAAGGGAAGTTGCAAAAAGAAATTGCTACGTTATTAAAATGTTCGCGTTGCGCTGTGCAATCTGCTATCAAACGGTTTGCTGAGACTGGCAGTCACGCTAATAAACCAAGAACAGGCAGAAAACGTGTGACTTCGAAGCGCGAGGACAGAAAATTAATGCGCGAATCTATAAAAGATCGGAAGAAAACATCATCAGAGCTTGCTGCTACTTTGTCCGAAGAGGCTGGAAAGCCAATAAGTGCTCGGACCACCAGAAGAAGACTTGGAGAAGCAGGCTTAAAAGGATGCAAAGCCAGGAAGAAGCCCTGGCTTTCAGAAGCTAACAAAAGAAAACGACTTGAATGGGCTCTACGGCATCAACATTTTACTGAGGAAGATTGGGCCAATGTGGTATGGTCTGACGAATCTAACTTTGAGGTAAGTAAATTTTACTGCTTTTGTTATTAATAATCATGGTCAGTTATTTATTTAACTAAAATAATAAAAGTTAAGGCAGTTTAAAAAAAGTGTTTTTTTTTCTTTTTTCAACAGATATTTGGAACGCCAGTTGTGACCTTCGTGAGGCGACGTGTGAGCGAAGAATACCATCCAGATTGCGTCGTACCGACAGTAAAGCATGGAGGAGGCAGCATAATGATCTGGGGCTGCGTGGCTACTAATGGGGTTGGCTAAATGTTTGTTTGCGAAGGTCGTATGAACAGCGAAAAGTACATAAAAGTGCTTAAAACTGCGCTTATGCCTTCGCTAACGAGTATTTTCGGCGATACCAACTTAGAGGAAGTTATATTCCAGCAAGACAATGCACCTTGTCATAAGTCACCGACTACGATGCGTTGGTTTACTGAAAACAACATTGACTTGTTTGATTGGCCAGCGCAGTCACCAGATTTGAACCCAATTGAACATCTTTGGAGCATTTTGAAGCGCAAGATTAAAGAGCATAGTATCACATCATTAAAAATGCGTTAGTACAAGAATGGCATGCCATTACAAGGCAGGATTGTACTAAGCTTGTACGCAACATGGCAGCTAGAATTAGTGCAGTAATTAAATCCAAAGGTGGACCGACTAGATTTTAAGTTTTTTTTATTCTTTTTTGTGTAATTTAATGGTAATAAATCAATTCAAAAAGTATAAGTTGTTTTTTTCCTTTATTTTAAGTAAAATGTAGGGTGCCTAATACTTTTGGCCCAAGGCTGTAGGTTAAGATGTTAAGGTTTTCAGGAAATAAAATTAAAACTACATCGAGAAATATGTTTTTATTTATGAATTACATAAATTAACAAAACATAAAATCAAATAACAAAAACACAACTTCTGCGTAAACATGGTTTAGGAATGTTAATGAAATTTTGTGTAAAAAAATGAGGTATTTTACATTGGCACCTAGTGCCGGACGGGTTAATCTTCAAACCCCAAGCGCCGCACATTCTAAAACATTGTGCATCTATCACATATGTAGGCATCTCCACATTATGAAACGTCTTGGCACATGGCTTCTTGGCTTCATGAGCCCATTCTTGGCAGCTGGAGCATTGTATCCAGTCCTCGTCGTGGTCCTCTAAACACATAATTAGTTTTTGTTCTGTATTAAAACGATGGTGGATCTTTATCGCCTTAGCCAAGTTGTAAGCTAACTTCAAAAACTCCTGTTTCATCAGCAGCAGACATCTATTAGACAAATCTCTTATGTGGTCCACTAAAACTTGCTCATACTCGGGTAAGTTGGTTTTTGTGAATCTAGCAACTTTTGGTTGCAACGTGACTTCTTTTACACTGCTCAATGTCATTATTTTTTGGACAAAATCTTGTCCATCGCAGTTTTTAAACTTTGCTGATCCCATTTTAGTTTTTTTTATCTCTCTTCCATTTTCAAATATCTCTCTCCTTCTACCCTGTAAAACAACAAACAACCATCATTATAATAAGTACAAATGCTTAATAAAAAAGATAACCTGTAAACTGTCCGGTGGTAAGGGACACCTTTGTGTGCGAAAGTAGGGGATAGGAAATGTCCAAAATTACGTATTTCATACTGAACCTGTTTAGGTATTTTTTTAAAACTTTCACAATATAATAATTATGGAACACTGTCTTTAATTACAAATAAAAAAAATAATTAAAGATAAAAGAATAGCAGTAACACTCACTTGAAATTTACGTGACGCAACGCTTTCCTACCAAAAACAGCAATCCACCGCTCCCACCACGACTGTGCGCCTCAATGGCAAATCGCTTTGCGTGATCCTGTCTCGCTACGTTCTCCCACACCCCTTTCACCGATTTATTAATAGATCGCGTTGGCGTTTGTTGAAATAGTACGAGTGTCCGGCGCTACGTAACTTCCCCCTAGGTACCTTTATTTTTGTAACGGGGTGAAAAATCCCTGGGGATACAGGAGCCAAAAGTATGTGGTGTTTCCACTAAAAACCACCCCGACGACCAGCCTTAGGCGCCCTACTTAAGGGAGGACCCGGGCCATGTGATTTTAGGACGCCGCACCTAACTAGGCCGTATCCCAGGGGAAGCCAGAGGCTTCCCTCTGCCTATTAGCCTATCACTAAATGTCGGTGCAATCAGGCTGCCATCCTATTCCCGCCGCAGTTAATCTGCCACCAGAGATCCCCACTCTCTGACATCTCGCGGTCCCGTCGACGGCGGTATAAGTCTTCTTCGCTCGGGATCAGCCCTCTCCCGATCCCGTTCAGCGGTCTGTTTTTGGAGCATAACAGCTTCACAGAAAGAGACCACTGCGCCCAGCCCTCCTTACCTGCGAGCATGGCAGTAATGATTGCTGGCAGGGACAGGTCTCGTCCGATTTGGTCGACCAGGACTTCGCGTTCAGACGCCCACGCGGGGCAGTCTTCCAGCGTCCCAGTCGACTGCGCAGTGCTGGCATTGTGCCGTCTCCTCGCGTCCAATCCGATTCAGGTACTCACCGAAGCAGCCATGCCCAGCACCGGCATCAGTCGGTAGGCAAAACTTAAACTTTAACTTTTGTTCACAATACTATAAACTTAATGTAACGACACCTACGGTGGCATATCTATATGCATGATATTATATTGTCTTATAAGTGTGCAATAAACATAATAGTTGTGTATTTTCAACATTCTTCATATGTTTTGGTAGTTTATTATAAACCTATGTGGGATGGAATACAGAAAAAGCTAGTGAGCCCATTGAGAGCCCCTGATCTATGTTTAACATAGCACACTCATAAAATAAATGTAAATGCAAGGTAAAGTCAGTAAATTATGTTCTATAAATAAGGGTTTGCCTTTAATAATAAATGATGTCTTAATGCTTCGTTTCTGTACTTTAAGTGCTAGATGGCAGTTAGTGGGGTTGCCCCAGAATTATGATACCATACCGTAAGTTTGATGAGACAATACCATGATAAGCTGTAATTAGTGTAGTTGTATTTGCGATATTTCTTAGTTTATAGGTACAGTCCCGAGGCGTACTGACTCGCTTTAGCACAAACATGCTCTATATGTGCTTGCCAAATTCAGTTTGTGATCTATTTTTAACCATAGAGATTTATTAACCTCGTTACTTCAAATGTATGACCCTTATAATTAATGTTTAATTTATTAAGAGTAATATATTTTTTCGGACTATATCCAAAATCTAACATTTTGGTTTTTCCTAAGTTAATGTTTAAATTATTCATTTGTAGCCATTGTAAGTATGATATTAATGCAATAGAGTTGTTAATTTCTGTTTCAAGATGATGTCAAAGGTTTGTTTGTACAAAATACAGTGCAATAATAATATAATAATAATATCAGCAAATAGAGTTATATTGTAAGCAGTAGGTAGATAATAGGTAATCATTTGTGAAAATAATGAACAGTAAAGGCCCCAGCACACTTCTTAGTGGGACTCCATATTTTCAGTTTTTAAATCGGAATTATAGACCAGTTCAAACTTTGTTTTACAGGTGAGTTTTTGTAAATTCATAAAATTTGTCTAAAAGATTATCATGTCTTATACGAGTAAAAGTCTTTCACGTGTCCATAAACATGCCAATCGCTGGACACCTAGACAAATCAATGATCCAAGGTTGTGTTACTGTTTTTTTATGTGACAGAACGGAAACAATAGCAAAAACTGATTCAGTTTATAAAATCCCCTTTTTTTTTGGATAGGTACTAGCGTGTGTGTACAATTCAAAAGTTTTATTACTTTGATTTAAAAAGAATTTCATTATACTTACATTAGACCAAAATTACTGCAACTAAACTATCTTCACTTTTTGTGATTTCCATAAATCATTGTATTTTTTACTTTTCAATCGCATATCAGATCCTCATTATTAGTTGACTTAAATAAAAGAAAGCAATAAGTAATTAATGTTTTTATTAATAATTTTCAAAGGATAGATACATGCAAAAAAACTATCGATACACACTTAAAAATATATTTAGAACATCAGCCCCAGCACATAGTCCAGTCATCCTTTCTAGTTTGTAATTTTACTATAATACGATACAAGGCTAGCGCAGGTCCCAGGGGAAGCCCCAAGCCTCTAACGATATCTTCACGTCGCGCCGTACTCAATGCTTTGCCGTCGTACTCCTGAAATTCAAACAAATTAGTGTAATTTGTAAAATTATGAAATTCTTACAATTAGTTAAATTAGGTTGCAACTAGAAGGCTGTAAACAGACTAGGAGATCTCTGTTCTAAGGCATTGGACTGGCTCAATTGACCAGTATTTTATTGTATTATTATTGTATAGTGATATATTAATATACTTAATTCATCACAATAAGTACCTAGTGGATCGTAAGTATAAATATTTACCTGTTCTTTAAGAATTAAAGCTGCTTCTGGTAAATACTTCGTGAAATAATTATATACATCATCAGCTGTCCAATTTGTTACGTCTGGAATACTAAGATCCACAGGTAGATTATCGGCAAGTTTTGATGGTGCTCTATCAAGTTCATGTGGTTTCCAAAATGGATCTGTAGGCAGCGTACTTTGTGCTGTATAATCCACACTTCTACCAATTATGGCGGGTGATTGCATAACTGTTAGTCGAGATAGCATACACTTACTGCATTGCCACTGATCCCAAGCTTGTAATCGCTTTGGAATGCACGGTAAGTGACATAATGCATGAAAGGCATCGGAGCAACTACTGCACACAGTCAGAATACCCTGAAAAAATATTATAAGCGTTAATAAAGTTAAGGGACAACATTTTAATAAAATGATTTAAATGACAATAATACAACTTACAACATCCTTGATATCACAGCTAACCACGCATGCTTTGCGATGTGGACCTTGCCAGGTGTTATCAGGTCTAGATTTCAATATACCAGAAGATGATTGCATTGTTTTATTACTTCCATCCAGGGCCACTTGACTTTCAGATGGTGGAGCTCCTTCAGCACCTGACTTATGGTGCCCAGCTTTCAATAGTCCTTTCTCAATAGTTTTTTTATTCAGTGAACCGACGGGTCTACCTCTTTTTCTCTTGCTAGGTACATTATTATCAGAGGGATCAAAAACTTTTTTTGCCACTTTATGGCGCTCGCTAACACGTACACTAGTATTGAGCGATGCATTACTGCTAGCCCCGTTATTTGAGATATAATCACGTTTCTTAGGCCTTCCCCTCATTCTTTGAGGAGAAGATCCGCTTGAAGAGTTAGCTGGTGAAGTCATCTGTAATGATATTAAAAAAAGTTAAACTTCAGGATTCTACAAATAGCCTGCCATCTCTTAGAGTATTAGACAAAAGTATAATTGAAACTTGTCTTTTAAAAGCAATATCAAACAAGAGAGCTATGTGTGAATGTTAACTCTCATCAATTTTTATGTGATTCAATGGCAAAGCAATTAAAACAGGGTTTGTCTAATTTAAGGATTGCAATTTTTGACGATGATATACCAAACTTCACACCAAAAAAGTGTAAACAACATAACATGTACGGTTTTTAACTTTTGAACGATTTTTACTATTTATATATTATTATTATTTTATTTATATTTGTTTTCTAAATAATAACTAAGCATGATTTGATACATTAGTGAGTAAAGCACCAAAATCCTTCATTCTATTGTTCATTTAATCACAATAATTGACAATATGTGTAACATACGTACAATAATATAAAGTTGAAACGAAATTAAACTTTTTATGTTTTACAAAATTATACGACATTTTTTTAAATTACTTAGTAAATTCAATACAAAGTGTCGGAAGCGATTTTTCATTGAATTTATAAGATTGTTTATCCGATCAGTGGCGTAGCCAGGTATGGCCTGCCCGTCGCCCACGGCCTCGAGGCCCTTGAGGAGGCCTCGCAAGGCTCCATTAAATGCGATGACCAAAGGCTTTACCACAGACGATTAATTTATTTCATGACATTTGTGCTCGAAGTGAGTTTGTTTCGAGCCTACCAAGAAACCCGATCTTAAGTGCAACTGCGAAGTCATTGTTATTACCTTTAAAGACCGTGACCGTTGGATTGACAGAAGCGAGTATTTTCAGGCGTTAATAGCTATTAGCAGGGGCGGATCGTGAATTTTTGGTCCCCTTTCCTCCTAACGTCTTGGAGTAGGCATTAGGAGTACGTGGTGTTTCCTCTAAAAACCCGCCCGACGTCCGGGTTCAGTCGCTCAACTGGGAGTACCTGGACCATGTAATTTCAGGTCCCTCCCGTATTAAAGCCGCGCCTGGGGTCTATCCTGGGAGATGCCGAATGCTTTCGCCGCTTTTTGACCCTGTTATTACCTATGTGTTGTAGCCCGACCGTGTTTTGATACGATTGCCAGCGGGGACAAATCTCATCCGATTTGATTTATCAGGTCATTGTCTGGTCGTGAACCCTTTATGTCCGTATCCGCCAGGACATCAAAGCCACCAAAAGTGCTAGGGCTGTCTGGATGCACGTCCGACGAGATGGTGCGGTATTCTTGTACGAATCGAATAGACGCTACCCGCTGCGCTGGATCGAGCTGAGTCCGGCAGCGGAGGAGGCCGATAGGTGCTTAGCCCATATCGTCGCTGGCGCTTCTTAGAGGCCCATAGATTGTATTAATTATCTCCCACGGATCCTCTAGATTGAACAGCAGCCTCTGTAGGGAGCCCGCCACTCCGAGAATTTATGGAATAATCCGCGCAAAATGCTCCTCGAAGCTCCAGCACAGTCCAGTGTGAGGCCGAAATACTTGTTATGCCGTTTGAACTTGATCTCTGTTTACCCTACGCTATTGAACGAGCGGGTAAAAGCTGCACCTCCGCGTTTTCTGTTAAATCACAGAGATGCCATCTCATGGCGCGCTAGCTGTGGGCCCTGACCGCTGAATTTTTGGGCGACACAAACTACCCCTAACTCGGCCAGCTCCAAGTCCTCCACTGCATAACTGACATCATTTACTTTTAGGGAAAGACTGGTTCTTGGGACTGCACTATGCATGAGGTTCTACAGAAGAGGTCCTAGGACCGACGCCTGAGGATCCCTACTTGTAAGAGTTGCCTTAAACATTTTTCGCCATCTCGATCGATATTCGATATGGACCTGTCGTAAAAGTAAGCCCTGAAGATGTCCCGCAGGTGGTAAGCAACTGGTAATACACAAATGATTTCCTAATCATCGACCACCGGAGGAGGTTCAAAACGTTAACTATGTCAAGACAAATGGCCAACATTACTGTTATCGTTAACTCCGAGAGACAACTTCGTCCTTTCTTCAATCGTAATACAAGACATTAACACAAGATTTACTGCAATAACTGAATATTACAGCAAGTTTGGATTCTTGTACGACATAGTTTAAATTTTTCGTTACGATTTAGGTGTAGTACTTCAGAATGAAGAAAGCAAAGACAAAGAATCTTATTATAGAGACGTATCAGACTACACAGCTTCCGAAGAAAGAATAACTTTTAAGTTAAAAATTATTAAAACCTACTTAAATTCAGCAAATTATTAAAACCTACTTAATACAGTATCAAGTAGGTCCGACTGCCTGCTTTAGCAATACTTTTCATCGAAGATGATTTAGCTGCAAAAATTAATTACAGGTCTACCAGAGGACTTCAGTAAAGCAAAAAGCCGAAGAAATTACTTTGGTAAGAAATTAAATCACGCAAGTTACAATATAAAACCTTTTTTCAAATCTATACCCTTTCTAATCTCTATAATTCTATTCATTTTTTTTCAACTATCATGAGTAGTTATGTTGTGTCAAAGCATATTTGGTAAAATAGATGCATTGGGCACCTATGTCTTGGGAACGAAAGAAAAGGGCCTCACTGATGCGACTTTGCCCACGTCTATATTAGATCCTGCGGCACCCGCTCCCAATGGAGTTTTAGCAAGTCTTTCAGTTGTTGGGTTGTCGATTCTCCGTCTAGGTACTCTAGAACACGTCCCTGGAGCATGTCCTAGCGTGCTCGATGGAATACTAAGAAGCCTATTAGGTTTCAACAACATTTTTTTGCTTAAAACAGTATATTTCGGTGTTTTCATTTTGAGAAACTATAGAATTTCGACAGTTTTGACTTTTTGAAAAATGTAAAACGTTTATCAGTACAGATCATAGCGGCTTGATGTTTATTAATTTTTTACAATTGCGTAGAAAATGTTAAACAAGTTTTTCATACTTAAACACTTTAATACTCTTTGAGCTCACAGAGTGAACGACAATACAAAGCAAATGAGGTATGAAAAAAAGGATAATGTATCTTAAATAGTCATATAGTTCATAGCGGCCTCTAAATTGTAATTTTTGTATTGATAATCTAGAAAAAATTACAATCAAAAGTATGAAACCTCTTAAACGTTTCCTAATAGTTGTAAAATTCTCCTTTGTACCTACCTACTTTATTTTTTTACTAAAGAAGTATAAGTACCTACGACGATAAACGTTAGGTCAGCAATAATTAAAATTTCTGATTTTAACCGCATATATATAATTAAAAATCTTTAAATAAACGTAATTGAATTTGCCAAAATTGTATAAAAAGTTTTTGTCGTTCATCGGTCGAATTCAATACCTCACCTACTGCGCGAGCGATTTTTGAGCGGTTAACAATAGAATTCGAACCATATTGTAAGTAGTCTACCTATTTTATCACATTTTTTTTGTATTTATTGTACATTTTTTTGTAATGCATATGATTATGTTAACTCTTTTTTATCAACTTGATCAAATGATGGTGCTCATCACAAAAACTGAAAGGCTCGATTGATTTTATCAAATCTTTCAGAATCAGACTTTCTTTTTTATCACGAATAATAATGTAATATGGTTATTTACAGTATGGTCTGGTCCGGATTTTAATATAATTTATAATGTTCGCTCGCTAATTATAAAATATGTAAATTTATATTTAATATAAGTACTTAGTACCTAAGGGTTCACATAAACGATGAACTGTTTGAAACCAAATGTTAGTCAAGTAGATGCGATTATACTTGATACACATTTTTAGTTTTTACTTCATTGAATAAATTTAAACGATAAATGTCAGTGAAATATTCAAGTCAACCGAATTACGCCCGCATGTAAGGGGCTCGTCAAAAAAAAACGGGCAAAATAAAAAAAGTAAATAAATTTAAAACGTATCCACTCACCTGAATAAAATAAGGTGGGTGGACCATGGAAGGCCACTCTAAAGAATAAACACTTTTTATTCGTATATTTACTGGATAAATAAAGGAAACAAATTGTTAAGGCATACCTTGGTTTATTGTGCACCATAGAAATCACTTTTTTTTTACCTAGCTTTAATAACTATTTATTAAACTTAAGTTTTATTAAGCTCTTCCAAATGGCCTTGCAAGGAACAGGGCTCCAAACAAGGCCAATATTATAATTCAGTCGTTCAACTTAAAAATAGAGTTGTAACAATTAATATATCCGCTTTTACTAAAAGTACATAATAAGCTCTTTCATTTAAGCGAAACATTAAATGCACAATATATTTTTATTATCTATAAAAAGCACAATGAACATAACTTGAACAATATCTTATAACTAAGAATATATTAATGGAAAATATTTAAAACTAGTAGTAATAAATATTATATTGATATAAAATAACTTGCCAACGCGTTTTATAATCAAATTAAAAACTTTTTTTTTTACCTTATATGGCCTTCTTAAGGCTCCGTTCTTTGTAAGGCCACAATGTTCCTAAGAAGGCCAAACTAACAATCTATGACTTTTTCATATTAATTATAATCAAATAATAGACACTACAGACGTACTGTTATTATTACAAACCCATCATGGCACATAGTCAGTCTTGTAGTCAGGAATGTTTAAAATCTTAGACTATCTTCGTTCCATGTACTACCTCTTTTTCAAGGTTTTGACTGTGACATTCTTGAAATCTGAAATAATACGTATAAATTTTAATCATCTGTTCAATTACCAACTTATTGATATAATTTTTTTTTGCTTTAATTATAGTTTTAGACAGACTACTTATCTTAGATATACAATTTTTAACTTATCTCATACTTACTTTACCGCTTTTATCAAGCACATATTTTTATATTCGTAGCTTTTCATGTAAATTAGTTTAGTTTATTTCCAGACATAACCTCTTCATAGACATAAAATAAATTTAAATATAAATACTGAAAATAAAATAATTTTGAAAAAAATTTCTATTCAGTCTGAGTTTAAAAGTTAGAAAACCCTTAAAAA